CATCAACTGGCATGACTCCATTCGAGGCAATGTTTGGAATTGAGGCGTTCGAAGCATGGAGCGAAGTTGACCTGGGGCAGGCAGATGATGAGCCCGATGTCCTGCCTGAAACACTTTTCCTTTCGCACAAGAAGTTGTTGAGCAAAGCAATGAAGGAGCGTGTGCGTGGTAAATTTCAGTACGGCAAAGCCGTGCGAGAGACCCAGTATGCGGCGGGCGACCGGGATCTAGCCGGGGGAAGGAGCGCCTCGCAGCCTGATCGGAGCGGCGACATCGGCTCATCCGGAGTAATTGTCCGGACGGAGAGGTCGCGACGGCTTGAAGAAGAGGTCCCCTGCCCGTTATCGATCGGCACGAGGACGTAACTTCATTTAAGAAGAAGGGTCTGTAGTACAATTGCCATGTGGCGCTACCGTACTAGGCGGGCGCGACGGGACAACGCCAGAGTACAGTACTAAGGTGTAACCGATACGGTGGACACGTCGGCAGCACGTGGCTGAGTGGCTACGTGGGCGACCACGTGTAGTTAGTGGCACCAGTTAGTACCTGTGTACACGTGGTGCGCAACAGATCGGGGGTTAGTACAGTAGTTAATTTCGAGTTACTGTAAGGTACACTAAGCTGGCCACAGTATGTACAGATACTGTAGCCCGTTCGGTGCCACCGCCCAACTAGGGGGTATATGATAGGGGGCACTGGGCTTGAGGTAAAGCGAGGGGAGCACACCTCCCCTCACTTCCTACCCCAGTTCTTTCTCCGTACGGTTAAATAAGTCCTTCAGGTTTCCAGCTCGCCACCGGTCGTACTGCTCTACACCCCAGGACGCCTGCCTGTGTCCAGTGCGGTTTACCTCCGTTGTCCAGTGCTTCCTACCGTTCCGGATTATTCTACCCGACGCTCCAGTGCAGCGGTCCCCCAGGCTCCCTCATTTTAGGTACAGCCTGTCCTTTTTCGCGTCCGGTTTAGCTACCCTACGGTTGTAACATGCTCCGCCCCCCGGCGTGTCATTCCCCCTTGCACAGGGGTGGGATAATTTACCGTACTGGTTAACGAGGTCTCTCTGCTGTTATAGCGTGATGAGTACCCCCGTTCGTATAGTGAATAATGATCCTCCTCAGGTGACAAGGTCCCTTCCGCCAGAAGGCGAGTTCAGCCCCTCACTTAGTAGAGGAGAGTTCCTTACTGGCCTGAGGAGGTCATCTCCGCCTCTTGGCGTGACAATTCTTCCCTTTATTTCCGGCGCAGGATAGTTGTATCGCTCGTTTAACGAGGTCACTCCCGCCGTCAAGCGTGTTGACCCACCACTCAACGAAAAAGGAATTTCTAGACTCGGCGACGAGTTTATGTTCCCGCCCTACCAGCGTGGGGAAAATTCCAGTTCGTTGACGAGGGCCCTCCCCGTTGTATATAACGTAGTCAGTACCTCATTTCTGTACTGTGGGTACGGGCTCTACTCGTTAACGAGGTCGTCCACTCCGCTTCACCGCGTTTTCATTACCCTCGCTTGGGTTGGGGAAACGTGTCGCGTGTCCGACGAGGGCCTTCTCAGACCCCAAGACGGAGAAACTTTTCTCCCCCTCCCCAAATCGTAGAGGGGAGTGTTTCTACTCGTTCAGCTAGGTACTTCCCGCCGGAAGTCATGATCGGTCCCCTCACTTGAGGAGGGGGCTGTATACTCGTTTGAAGGGGTCGCCCTCCGCCTCTTGGCAGGGGCATACCTCTTCACCCCGGGGGGAGAGGACCATTGTCCGCTCATGAAGAGGGCACGCCTGGCCTTCGGTCGTTCTCAGTCAGATCCCCCCGGTGGTGGGAGGTATTCTCCCTCGTCGAAAGAGGTATTGCGTTGCCTCCTAAGGAGTGCCGGTCCCATCCCCCTCAGAAGGGGGATGTTTTCGCTTCATCGCTTGACGGGCCCTGGGTGGCCCAGCGAACGGTCCTCCATTCGGAAAAAGGGTGCTGGTGAACTTGGTCCACTGTCCAACAAGGCAGATCACCGCGCGAGGGCGTGTTAGGGGTCCGTATTCTACGCACGTCAGAAGGAGGAAGCAAGAGTTCAGTTTATTCTTCTATCGAATAACGTGGATCACTCAGCAGCCCTTCTGAGCTGCCATGTCCTCATTCTCACGGGTCCCCTTCCTCCTCATAATCAGCGACATCCTCTTCTGGCACAGTGCCCTCTGCCCCATCCGCACTACGTGGTCAGAATACACAGGATCACTGAAAATCAGTGGTCCCCACCATCGTATTTGTACATTATTTTTGACCCCAAATATTTATATTCTGATTCAACATAACATTCGTATCAATTTCCAACCTTGTTTTCGTGCTTTACTTTTGCGTACCACTGATTAACATTATAATTTCTGATGAGCTTCATAAACGTTGCTGCGCCACGTGGTCAGAACGCTGCTCTGGATTAGTATAAACGTTGCTGCGCAACGTCGTCAGAACGCTGCTGTGAACAGCCACCCCTACCGAAAAGAACAGACTAATATGTTGTGTTCTCCTGTACTAATTTCGAGTTAATGGAAATTGGTTAGAAGGGTAAAGCCTCTATACATTACGTTGAATTTAAAGTGCCAAATGTTGTGCTCAAGACAAGATCCGATCTCAGATGTGCTGCATGTGCCGCACACTTCATAGTTATAGGGCAGTCTCTGGTGCGATGGCAACGGCTCGAGCGTCGACGGCGGGCGCGGCAGGTTCCGCTGAGATGCCGAGATGACGGCCGCCGCGGCGATGCGCCCGACCGTGCGCGAGACGCGTGTGGCCGTGGGCGCCTCGTAGGCGGGGCCGTCGGCCGGGGCGACGGGCATGGGTGGCTGCGGCGTGATGTGCCGGCCGCGGCGGGAGTTAGAGGGGGCGGTGGGATCGGCAGGGGCGGCGGCTGCGGCCGGGTCGTGCATGGTGTAGACGGGGCGGCGGCCGCGCTTGGAGGCGGCGGTGGACATCGGGAGGGTTTGGGGGTAAGGGGGGACAGAAAACAAAGGGGAGGTGGTATGGTTTTCGGTAGGCGTCTGGGTTTGGGGGGCGGGGGAAGGCAAAGGAAGGGGGTCCGTAACGCGTAGAGGGGAGGGGTGGGTGCAACTGGATGGATGCAAAAGGGGTAAATTTACAGTGCCGTAGACGGCGCGCAGGATCCAGCGCGTGTGCGTGGGGAGGGACAGGGCCCGTTTTTGGCGCAGAAGAGCGCACGTGGCACGGCACGCGTGAAAACGCGTCTCCTTGAGAGATGCTCCGGCCCGTTCTATGACGCATTCCCACCTCCATCTCTCTTCACCCCATTCCAACTGCCCACACCAACCAACAAAGTCCTCCCCGCCTCCTTTAATGAAAACCCTCTCTATCTCCCTCATCTCTCTCTAGCTAGCCCAGGCGTCGCTTTATCGTCGCCGTCTGCTCGCGCGGCATTACTATCCCAATATTCTTCCGCCCTTTCCACCGCACCACCCTTTCCAACACTTCTTCTTTCCCGTCCACCTCTCAAACTAGCTCCCTCAACTCTACGCACTCGATAATATCAAAGCCCAGCGCCGCCTCCTCCACATTCCGCGTCTGCGCCACTTTAATAGTCATAACTTCCGAAGCAGCTCCAGTCCCTCGTATATTACACGGAACGGACACGTCGTGTATGTGCTTATCCCTACAGTCTTCGATGTACCTTGGCTTCCGCCTTTTAAAAAGCGACTCTACACTCTTCTTGCGCCTGCGCTGCGCCGCGGAACTTACTAGCTACGAGGGGCTTCCAAGGGTGGGGGGCGGGGCGAGGAATTGAACTCGCGACCAAAAGAAAAGGGCAGCAGGGGAGTGGTACCGAAGCACACCACCCCTGCGAAGCCCTTTTCTCCGTCGCCCCGCCTTTGCATGCGGCGACTACCGACCTTACTGGCGGTCGCCAGTAGTAAATTTCCAGCCCTTTTATACCCGACACCCGACACTTGAACGTGATACCCGACTCTTAAACGTGTACACGTAGAGCTGCAAACGCATAATTCCCCACGGCTCCCCTTAGTGAAGATCCATGCCACCGACCCGTAGTCTTCAGATCCCGCCCCTCCTACTACAGCCCTACAGCCCTCTTCCGCAACGTGCCCCACTTCCCATTGTAGCCCTCTTCACCAACGTGCCCGGCGGCAAGCACCCGATGCTTCCTTAACGGGGGATCTTCCTCAATCGCATCGCTCTTTGCGCTGACAAAACGTCACTTGCGGACGGAAAAGTCGACCTAGTACTACCGCTCGGCAGACTCGTACGCGATGTCGTAAAAGCGCTTGTTCTTAAATGTGAGGACATTGTAGACATTGTACAGGACTCCCTCGTGGTAGATGTTATCAACTTCGGGCGCTAGTTCAGGGGAAGGCGGGGCCTCTGGTTCCATCGGAAGGATGGGGTTCCGGCGATCCTTCTCCTGGTAAATTTACCAGATGGAAAACGGTGGGGGTACAGAAAACGACGAAGACAAGCCAATAAGAATGCATGACGCGTGCAAATCATTTGTCATATTTTCAAAAATGATCTGCATGCATGACCGAAAAGTTTTGACGGCGTGAAGGGCAGCCGGTGTGTCCGCCGCGGTGGCACGTGCGCAGCTCGCGGCGCAGCTTTTCGAGGGGCGTCGTGGTGCATATAGTGGATATGTGGGAATGAAATGCGCAATGGAAGGTAGGAGAGTCCACAGGCTGAAGAAGAGTCTGCATGGTGTAGCGGCGGCTTCGGGCGTCCCCAGGAAGCATGTCATGTTTGTGGATGATGAAGAGGAGATGGCGGGGCTAGAAAAGGAGCTGAGTGAGCGGAAAGGGACGGGCTCCTTACATAGTGGTGGAGGGCATCGAGCAACGCTAAGGTCGACGAAGAAAGCGTACAAGGAATTGCAACAGCGGCAGGAGCGACACGGAAAATTGAGGACGGTGAGGAGCGACACGGAAAATTGAGGACGGTGCTGAAGGACATGGCCTCGGAGAAGGCTCTGCTGAGCAAGGGGCGTCGTGTGTTGGAAAGACGAGCGAATTCTACGACAGGAGCGCCTGCCGTTTACCGTTGGCAACAAGAACGCAAGCGATAGTACGAGAACTAGCTCTTGTCATGTGGGATGATTCCGGGGATTTATACTTAATTCTTAACTGGCAAGATCGCACTGCTACCTTTACAGACTTCTATCGATCAACCCAAAATGGAGTCGCGATTTTCTCCCGTCCATCGTCCTTGTCCAGTTCATCGTGATTATGCCTCCAATGCGAACACCGACTCCGTAGCTCATCCCAATCGGTTCTCGTATCTGTTCATTAGAGACGGCAATATCCCCAAACATAACACCCACTAACGCCGGCAAGCTGTCCAGCAAACCGGGTGAGATCACCTTTCCAGATCGATTCGCTGGGGCATCATTCACGTGTTTCGATACAGAGGTGTTGTCTTCACTCTCTGCATTAGCCCCCTTGTCGTTTTGGACGGCGGGGGTCTTTTAGCTGCCTCCCTTAGTGCCACTCGTCTTTTGTTGAGTAGCAGATTTATCGATGTCCTTGCCGGCACTGGTGTCGCTTTGCTTTCCGTCCTTTTCGTTTTCGCTCTCATCATCTTCTGGAACTGCCCCCGGGAGAGCACCGCGCGTCAACGGTACCCTAAGCTCAAGTCGCCCCGTCCCAAAACGACTTGTACCGTCCCAGCTCTCCATGGTCATAACCGCGCACATTCATGACACCCCCCAGCGATTTCTGTTCATGCCAGGGTAGATTATCCGACCCGATCCCCGATCAGGTCGACTCTTGTGACGACGGAGGCGTCCTCGACGGGTTTGCCGTTGCTGTCGACCGCGACAAGACGGATGGCGTGCAGGCGGGGCTCAATGGAGTAAAGGGCGAGCGTGCGGTTGAAAATCGAAGGGTAAGTGACGATGGAGAGGCGGGAGCACGGGTAGCCGTTTTCTGTAAACCAGTTATTGCAGACGTCGATGGCGGCGTCGACTTGCTTGCGGTTGACATTCTGTTTGGCGATGGGTGCAAACGCACGCTGAGTCGATGACGGAGAGGGGTATTTTTTGCGCTCAAGGACGTGGACGCGGCCAAGGAATGTGTTTCCATCGGGGTTTCTGAAGGGGTTGGAGATGGTGAAAGGGGGGGTGAGGGTGCAACGACGACGGATGGGGAGTGCGGGAGAGGGGCCTTGAGGGGAGGGGCTGGGAAATGTGCCCACATGAAAGGGGGGCGGTGGAGGGGGAGGGAAGAGGAAGGCCATTGTGAAATGGAGGGGCTGAGATGCGAATGAAAATGGGGAGGGAGAGCGGGGGACGACACCTGTTGACGGCGACGATGAGGACGATTGACGAGCTTGCGGATCAAAAATCCACCATTTGGGAAGGCCGCCACTGAGACGGGAGACGCGCCATTGATCCCGGGGGTGTAAGGGCCGTTCCTAACGAAGAGTTCGCGGTGCCAGCACCCGAGCACCTGGACATTTGGCATGAATGTATTGGTTGAAAAAATTATTGGAATTATACTGAGGGCCGTGTCGCCATGCTGGTCTTGTCCCGCCGCATGGACATTTCAGCAGAGGTGTGTGGGAGCGTGTTACGCGTGCGGCACAGGCCCGCCCGTGCGCAACGTGCGGTCTCATGTGAAATCCCACCCTCATTAAATTTGTCCAATTTTAACACCGGACGGCGGCGTCGGTGTGGGGAATCAAGCCAGCCTCGCCTGTCCAGCAATGCACATGTCCCCCGGTGAGCTGTAGCCACCCTCCTTTTTGGCCTAAATTTTCGGGAGGCGGCGAGAGGAGGCGGTGGCGGGGCGACAAGCTGTACGTATGTGCTGTAAAGTTACAGTACCTTCGTGTCGTACAGGTTGGGAATCGGAAGGCAAGCCACCGCGCGGGAATGCGATTCACGACGCAAGTGAAGAGGGCAATTGATGTCGTGGAGCGCTAGGAAAATCATTCCATGGTTTTTGGATGAGAGATTGTTATATGAAGAGGTGGGTGAATATGCCAGGAAGAGCGGGTTGGCGTGTGATATTGGGTGATGTCAAGGAGGTTGGTGGGATGGATGTTTCGTGAGGTGAAGGTCGGGTCCGGGGGTGAGGGAGGAGAGGAAGAGGTCGTGCTCGAGGGTCGGGGGTCGACATGTTGGTGATGGACAAGGTGTTGGAGGGGGATCAAGGGGAAGAGGGTTCAAGGAGGGGAAATGGAAGGGCGCGAGGAGTAGAGGGTTTCGGTTGTGGTAGATCAGATGATCAGGTGAAGTCTTCCATCCTCCACGGTATCACTACAGTTACTGTCACCAATTCTATATAACCACCCCGCCCCACATGTACCCTGCCATCACTAAAGTGTTCGGCCCTCTCAGTCGTGATCAAATCCGCCCAGATCACATCCACCTCACCCACCCCCAACTCACAGTAACTTCTCTCTCTCCCTTTCCTAACATAATATCTACCCTGTATCTGCCTACTCTACCTCTGAAACCTCAGACATGTCGGGGAAAGGTTTGATGTATTCAGTGTTGTATCTGATATCCGTGAAAATTGATACCTTTATTATTCATTGGAAGAACTCATTGCCATCTCCAAACTTCTCTATCAGATTAATTCCTAGAACTCACATTTGAGCATTATGATCCCACATTGTGAGTTCTTCTCGGACAGGGTAAGCCTTTGCAAGAGTACACTCTCCCACGACTCAAAACTTCAAGTATCGCGTGAAATAAGTAGTCATGGATATACTGTAACATGAGGCAAATCACCCCTCATTCCTGTTTCTGCTGCTACCCTGAAGAAGGTGCTCGAAATTAAACTCATCATCATCATTGGAGTCATCTTCCCACAATTGATCCTGAACCTGTTGCATATTTTCGACACTTTTACCCGCCTCTCTCGCATTTTCTCGTTCTGAGGTACCTGTTGGAAAAATTGTGCACAGTTTGTCGAATGCTGCCGGAGATATCCTTAGGATTTGTGCATCCAATACATCTTTCTGTTTCGAAAGACCTGGCAGGAAGTTTAAAATCCGCACACGAGCCATGTTGCTACCGTTTTCTTCGCTTTCCTCGTATTCATCATGGTTACTATGCTGTGGCTGGTCTGCTTCATCTTCCTCTGCTTCGCCCGGAAACAACAATGTACCGCCGCCACTGTTATTTTGTTCCTGTACCCCTTCATCATCCTCCATGGTACGCAAGGTAGACGGCAAAGCCAAATGACTCCTGCCGTTGATAACATCGTTGACAAACAAACGAAATAGCAATGCAGTTCGGAAAACTGTCCGTAGAGAGCCTGAATGACTGCAAAGAAAATCAGTCACGTCTTTGCCTTGGGTGTACGCTAGAAACAAATTTAGAGATACTACAGCAAGGTTAATTGTGCGGTGCATACGTTTGCGTTGGGCTGGCTGAAAGCCTCTCCTCTGTCCGCCATTTTTTAGTAAACCCTCACCCACAAGAACATCGTACTCCAGTAGAACATGTAATTCCAATCGAGAATCACTCATTTCCCGCAGAAGGCATTTGTTTAATGCCACCGCGTTTGGAATGTCAGACGTAACTGCAGATGTAATTTGATCCCCGATGTTGAAATAGTGATCTGGATACTTAAACGATAACTTCGGGGGCTGAAAGCCTTCCGGTATGCCTCGTCTCGTCGCGACTCCCACGGAATCAGCATGAACCCAAGATCTTCAAAAAAACGCTTCTTGGCTGCAACTCGGGACTCCCTAAAAAAGTCGGTCACCATTGCGTACACACTTTGAGCGATGTAGATGGCCTCTCGTCCCTTCACGGTTTCCACGATGGGTTTGGGGGGCTTCTCCTTCGTTTCTACCAGTTTTCTTGTTATCTTCAGTATATCTTTTCCGACATATCCAGTCTCTAGCCAGTGAGGCATTTCACGCTGAGGATGGCGGTGTTCATGACTAACACTGTCTCTGTCATCGTTTCTCTCGCTGTATGAAACGTCAATCCTGCGCCTTCTAGCACTCTCGAACAGCTTCTTTACGTACCTGAACTTGAAATCACAATGCACTAGCGCCAATCCGCATGCAAACGCCTTTTTCGTTGCTGTTTTGTTGTGCCCGTACAAGAACGCAGCCATAGCCAGGTGTGTGTGAGCTAGTTTAATGCCAAGGGACCAAGTATACTCCATGAAGTGACATACGCAACCTGTAAGAGTTTCTGACAGCAGAGAAGAGCCAAACACGAACTCTACTTGCGCTCCCAAGGAAGCATTCTCCTGTTCCACGAGGTCTTTGAACGCCCATTTCGAGGTGAAGTTGGAGCTTCTCTTCGATTTCTTCCGCAAACCAGAACTTGAACCTGCCTTCATTCCTAACATGCCATCTGTAACGAGATTTTTGACAGAATAAACTTCTTGTCCTAGATTTTTGATCGCACTTTCGACTGTATTGAACTTGGTTAAAAGAGTTCTCTGAAGGTTCTCCAAAAATATCCTAAAAGACGGGTCGGATTTAAGTTGAGCGATTTCGGACGTTCCAAGAACCCTTCGACGGTCAAGCACTGCATTGCGATTCGAATGCCCACCAGGGGTTTCGTTCTCTCGTTCACTCATTTGCGGGAATTGCCTGCCATTCCTATGTATAGCTTGAAAATCACGGATCGGAGCTGTTGAATTGCCAAGGACACCTCCATCTCGAATGGGAAAGTTGTCTCGGTTCGAGTGCACGGGAGTTCGCGGATTAGGAAGAAAAATTTCGGGATCCTGCTCTAGTCTTGGCCGTGGTTCCTCACCTTCTCTTGTCATGGGGGGCTGTGTTTCCATATCAGATGTGTTAGGGACATTTTGAAGCTCCATGGTAATGGTAGGTTCGGAGGGGCAAGGGAAAGAAAGAAGGCAGGTTGATGTGTGTGAGTGAAGGAGTTGGTGCCGAGGTTTACTTTGAAGCCGTTTTCCTGCGATACTTATACACTTCGAGTGCTAGCTACACTATCGCTCTACTCCGACTCCCAGTAAACCATACTCTACTATGCGCGACCAAGCGCGGTCCTCTTGTGGCCCGACCATACTGTTCGATTTCCACCTTACGAATCGATTCGTAACTATTAGCTCACAACTATTTCTACACATTCCAAATGACTGTAAACCATGGCCCTATGCATGCAACTGTTTCACACCTTACTAATCTGCATCCAGTCATGCCAGACTTCATTGTTGTGCAACGAACAACTTGGCACTTGTCTATTTCCAACAACGCAAACGTCTCTCATATCACAATCGCCATACGTATCCTTGTTTCTCACCTTACTAATTTCGCCAAGCA